GCACGTCCTCTAGCTCAATCTCCAAGAGCACAGGGATGATTGAAGATTCGGCAGGTAGAGGAGAAGGGCTTGACGAGGCACAAGCTCCTCCCAGCCCACTGGTTGAAGTTGGTGACACCTGCTTTTGTCGCTTACGAGGATTGATATCCATTGGGCTCTTCGCAGGATTCATCGGTCTCCTGATAATATAACGAGATATTGAGATTGCTAACTACATGAACTAAAGGTTGAATTACACGATAATGTGAAGGTCAAAAGAACGCATTTTGATGGAGCGAGTCCAATGTCCCTTATATAAATGTTTCCCCTTGAGTGAATCGCAAGCCATCTCGTTTCAAACTTAGTCTGAAGCTATTGGAGTATAATCCACGGCCACGGATTTATTTTTGTTGTGACGGACTGGTCATTGGCTTGATTAAACAGCTCTCCTTGGATATTGTTACATTTTCAAGCTTGATTGATATGATAATTAAAAGATCGGTGTCTCTTGAACGAAATACCTCTTAGCTTTGACTGCTGGTTGAGGGGTTGGTTGCTGGACTGCTTGCTGCTGATGAGGGGGCGTGCGTTGCGGTCCAGTAGTAACCTGCTGGCTAAGCCTGGGTACCACACACAGGGGGGGTTGTCCGGCCTGCTGGATATTTCCTCCACTTCCAAGAAAAGAACCAAAAGATAAAACATCAGTTCAAACACTGAGCTAAAATGATGCAGGATTTGATCATGGAAACAGAATTTACTTTTTAGAATCTATTTAAACTAAAAATGTCGAACCTAAATTAAAATTCTTGGCCCAATTCATTTGTTCCCGACGGGATGTATGTTAGTAGATTTACCTTGTTGCCAGTGGCAGGGGCAAGATGGTATCGACCGTGTTAATGACTGCCGAGGCAGGCCTACTGTGCCTCTTGGTACAAGCATTCCTCTGAAAAGACAAAACTTAATACTAGCAAATGTAACATACAGAATAGAACAAAAACCAAAACGAATGGAATGGTGAACTGAAAGAGGCCATCCTATAAAAGTAAAATCAAGGCACTTCGCGCTGACGAGCAAGAGCTATTCTGAACCATAGCTATCCTTTAAAATAATTAGACACACGTGTGGCACCTTAATTCCTCTGTCTTGGTGCAAGGTAAAGCCGCAAACACAACTACAGATTGTACCTCATGTCCAATGGGTTTTAATCCCGGAACCAGGGTAGCTGTGCTTTGTCCAGCCTGAACCGGTGATGGACACGCGAAGGCATGCGTAGGAAGCAGTGTAGGTGGCTTGGGTGGGGTTGGAGGAGGCAACTGTTGATCAAGCACTGGCTGAGTTGCTTGACGCATCTTCTCAGCATGTCGTAGTGCTTGGAGCCACATTGGTTCAGGCCCATTGTTGCCACTATGAATGAAGCAAATCAATACAAATGGATATTTTTAGTGTATAGAAAACCTTGCAGGATAGTTTCTAGGCAAGATTCATATTTGATTATTCAGTGTACCTGTTCGCCTGTGCCGTCATGGCGTGAACCTTTTGCATAATCTCACGGACAGTCTTCCGTTCTGAAATATCCTGAAAAATCAGATAAAAATGAATAGAAGTTAAATATTAACGCACAAAAAACCAACAGAATATTAAACACCTGCTTAGGAACACAAAAAAAGAATTTGACCAATTTCGCTCTCACCAGATGATCTTGTGATCTGGAGCCCAGTCTAGTTGACGTCTTCTTCGTCTCTGATGAAGAAGTTGCAGAAGAGTCCGTGGGAGGTACTTGTGGCGATATTCTTCTTGGTGATGCGACTGGTGGCGTCGACTGATTGATAGGCGGTGGCTGCGGCGCCTGGACTGACTTCCGCCACTTTGGTTCAGGGCCACTCTCTCCACTGTGATAGTTATTGGGAAAATGTTAAGGATGTCTAAGTTAAGGATATCCAGATGTCAAATTTTGTATCAAACATTTCTCTACCCAGTCAACAAAACGTATTATCCACTGTTACCTGTTATCTTGTGCGGTCATGGCTTCAACTTTCTGCATGATTTTCCGAACGGTCTTCTGGTTTGTATCTTCCTGAAACATCAGATACAAAGTGATTCATAGTTTTAGATATTGACCCTCAGAACATATTGAGATAAGTGACATCAGTTCCCGATTAGAAACAAATACATGGCATACGGGTACTCCAAGCTAACCTGATGATCTTGTGGTCTTCGTTTAACAGTTATTTCCTTTGCCTCCCTCGAGGACGAGCTTATAGAAGAGTCGGTCAAAGAAGACGATGATCTTCTAGGAGGTGAGATGGATGGTACGGATTGAAGACTATGTCCTGGTTTCTGAGCAGCGTCTGCCATAGTCCCTGGTCTAAAATTCATTACAAAATACGCACACAAAAGGAACTGAAGCTACATATTTTTAAATTCTTGTTTATACAAAAGTACATCGTTTTAATTAAGTTCCACTTGGTGTGTACTGCTTATATATCCTTCACGATTTCAGAAACAGTGTCTGTTTTTAGCATTCTCCTTCAAAAATAGACATATTTCCTTACTACCCTCATATTTTAATGCACGTTCAGGACTCCTGTTGAAAATTCATCAGCAGTGCAAGTCACATCTTTCATAATTCATAGATCTATATTCCTACAAATTTTGTGTTTGATCTTCGTGGAATAAATTTAAAGTGCCATTAACAATCTGGACTGAGCAGCTGTAATTGATGAACTGCTAACGATATAAACGAACTTTTTCTCGTTGAACATTGTACCTGAATTGCGAAGGCGCTGCCATCTTGGCTTCAGCTGGTTTCCTGAACTCTCTTACGGTTGACTCCTGTTTGAAACTCTCCTGAAAAGAAAACATAAAGATGCAGTCATCCCACGAGATTCCCATGATCAAACTATAAAAGTAAAGCCCTTCTTGATATCTTCGCTTTTTCAACAAGTTAAGAAGATACGAATTTTTTAAAGCCACTTCGAGATCAAAGAAAATTGTTGATAAAATGTTTTCTATTAATGTGCACCAGGTTGACTGCATCCATACCTCCCCGCTCGAGAGCTGATTTCTACGATGTGTAGACAATGAGGAGTTTTTCTCATCCTTCAAATCTTCGTCATCAACGCGGTAGTCTTCATTGTCTTCGCTCGATGACGACAGTAGCACAGAAGGCACGGTCTCTCTTAATGTTTCGCTGTTTCCTTGAAAATCTCCCCGTGAAACCCCTGGATCCGCTGGTACTTCCCTCCCCTTCTCTAAGACCGAGCTCGTAGAAGAGTCCGCAGAAGAAGATGGCGTTCTTCTTGGAGATGAAATCGATAGCTTGGATTCAAGGTTATCTGCTGGCTTTGGAGTTGTGGCTGCCACATGCCCTCCTCTAAAGTGTCGTTAAAATAATGCAAAAATTCTCACCATTTCATTCCTTTATAGTACAATACCTTCAGGGTATCACTAATTGCATAAGGGCTAACCAATTGCAGAGCTAACTGCATGAGGGCTAACCAGTTGGAGAGCTAACGCGCAGACCACCGAAATCTGTTCCTCGGTAGAAATCCTACGGTGTTTTTGGTAAAACTGCTAAACATACATAGGCCTACAGTCTTTTTGCTTGTAACGTGTTTCTCATTTCACCTGAGGTGCGATGGCTGTGGCATCTTGGCTTCAAGTGCTTTTCTTACAGTTGACTCCTGCTCACTGCTATCCTGGAAGGGAAGCACAGAGACCTAGTAATGCAAGACGATTCCTTCTTCTCCAAACACGCAGTACTCTGCCTAGTTTTGTCTGCTTTTTCAACAAGATAATCAAAATATGTTTTATAAAGACAAAAGGTAGGAAACAGCACAGGATGGACTTTTTTATTTTAATAGCCAACAATGTGTGCCATGCTTCGTACCTCCTTCGTTTGGAGGTGAAGTGCACGATGCGGAGATGCCTCCTTCAACTCTTCGTCATCAGCATCACAGGCTTCCTGGTCCTCGGACTGTCTATCACTACCTCCTGAGGAGTTTTCACCAACCTCAGTAGCAGGGATGAGCTGGACACTGTCCTCTTGATGATCGGGGGAGAACTTGCCTGATGGATTCTGGCCCTGGTACACTGGCTGATCGTGGGAGGCGACCCTACTCTCACTTTTTCCATCATTTGTTGGCCTGTGGAGAAATGCATAAACTCTTCTTCAGTTTTCAAATAAAATACGAAATTAAAGGCTCTGATTATCTCACCAAACCCTGTTTTCTTTGAGACAGTACTGATAGAAAGTTTTGGTGCGGAACTGTGCATTTTAACAGAATGGGTATTTCGAAAGTCCCTACCCGTGGCCACCCGAGACAAAATAGAGTGTGCTTGAGGCTGTTCTCCACTCACCTTTCAGTCAGGCTAGTCCACGGAGGTTTCGCTTCTTTCTCATCAGAGAGATTTCCACTGTCACTACCAGGAACGGGTGCAACAGTTTTCGCTTCTCCTTGATCTTTGAGTGGAACAGCAGAGTTCTCAAGAAGATCTTCTAGCATTGGTCGCAACCTGAATAGTAAATGACAATTGAGTTAATCTCTTGTATTTTAAAACTAATTCCATCCTCATTTTTTTTCTGCGTATGCACAACAAAACCACAGCGGAAGACTATCTGTGTGCGCTGAAGAGAGCAAAATGCTTATGAAATTCACAAGACGTTAATTAAAAATACCTTTAGATGGAAATGAGATTTTGTAAAACATAGCAATGTTCAGTGTAACCAACTAACCTTTCGACCAAGTTAGGGACATTAGATAGCCCAGATTTTTCCGGGGCTAACCCCTTCCTCAGTTCATCAAGTAATGGAGGAAGCAGGGGTGGTGAATCGGTACGTACCGGCCCCAGGCTCAACAACCGATCAGATGGGGGCAACCATCCGCTGGAAAACCACTTGCTGTTGAAGGTATAGCAGGAAAAGGTGTGGTTAAACTTCAGGTTTGCTTTTTTTTGGGGGGGGGGTTTGGATATTATTTCGTATCGCTAATTACTGAGACGTCATTGGCAACAATCATCGCAGGAGCGCATTTTTCAACATTGACAGGCTAGTGACTTCACCATGTCTTACTTTAAACTCAACATCGGTAGTGTTCCTACAGATATCAAGCCAAAGGGATTTTAACTTAACATGAAACAATAGGACATAATTATTTCATATTCATATTATATAACCGACGTGGTCGTCTTTATTTTTCCATTTTCTATTCAAATGGTGACCAATGAAAGAAGATAATATTGAAGGGAAAAATGTTGATATTCCTTACATGTAAAACTACAGCTTGTGGATACAGTAGGTACCATATTGCATATCCCAACAATAAAATGGTTGAAAATTTATTTCTCTGAAACTTACCGGTAATCCACCGACACCAGCTCCTCAGCTATACGTAGCACTGTTATCATTGTCAATAAGTATTGTCTCAAGACGAATACCGCAAAAAAATCTCTTTGATCGCATCCGAAAACGCGCTGCCAAGAGAAATCCTTGTGTAACGAACAAACGCTAAACAAGAACAGAGATCTCGGCTGTTTTCTGTTTGTTTTTATGCAACGTGGTTGCGAAGCGACTTAAGAATCCCGCGTAGTAATCGCGTACTTGTGTCGTCACAAAAGCCATAATACATGCGAAACGCACTTGTACGCATAGCCGCTCGTCTGGTTTTCTCTCAGGTCGCCCCACGTACAGAAGTGCATTGTGCGCAAATATAGTTATTTGCGCTGCCATGGATGCTGTACGCATCAATGTGTTCAGCTCTAAAAAGTTCTTAATGCAAAATTCAACTCCGATTAGTTCAATTAGTAAAGAAAAAGATCATTTACGCAATTCACAACAAAGAATATCATTGTTCAATTTTCTTCTTTTATACACTGTAGTATGATCATAAATGGACAGCCGTTGTTCCCCTACAGTCTTTAGTGTCAACATGGAAACCGGTTCATAAAAAGAAAACACTTAGCCCGATTTAAAAGGTTTGTACTGTTTCGAAATCTCATCCTTGGACAATCAGTTTAATATTTCTTTCGAAGCAAGCAATTTGACGAAACAGGTTATTATTCCCATCAGTATACCAAAGGCTTTCCCACTGGTAGTTTCTTCAGAAGCTTCAACACTCCACCTGACAAAACCGGACAATATTTAAAGTTTTGTTGATCTTTACTTAGACTGTTGCTTTTATGCAATACGGTATCAACTTCGATAGTGATGTCAGACTGGTTGCCCTGAAATTGGCCCACAACATCAAAGTGCTCCTTGAAAAGATTTGTAAAGTCATGAAAATCAAAGAGCACTCCTTTTACTGTCAGCATGAAGTTCGTTGACAGATTCAAAAGACCGTTAGCTATTCTACAAAGCTCGCCACTCTTAGCTACGTTAGTGTTGCAGGCAACGATTTCCCCCATTTAGGTTGTGCAGTGGTTTGTTCTTAGTTATAGGTAGTTTTCCCCCCAAATATAAACATTGCCAGGAATTTTGGGAGCAGAGCCCCAATAAGGGCATTGCAGACCCACTGGCTGTAATATAGAGAGTCTTATCAGTTTACCCACAGCCTGTGAGCGAAATTCTTCATTCAGCAGACGGGCATCCATCAGTGCAGACTGCACTAACTTTCTCTCCGTATAATGTACTAGCCCAGAAAGTTTTTCTCCACCGCCATGTTAGTGACTCCACATTATACAGTCCTTGTGTTTTGATGGTTCTTTAAGGTATTTTAATATTCCTAGATGGTCTTTCCTGAGTTTTAGTGTTCTACTTTTTATGTAT